TCCCCCTACTGGTTGACTGCCATTTTTTCTATGTGTTTATTTAGGACATTTTAGAAGATGTTTTTATTTTAAAACCGATGCAGTTTTTTCATTCTTGATAAGGGGACATATATTGCAGCTTTGCTTTGTTGAATTCTCTTGAATGAACATTTTATATTGTCTGAGCAAACGTAAATGTTAACGCTAAAGCGCTGAGAGTGTTTAAGGCCGATCCCCAAAAGTGTGAATCAAGCATCTTGATTTTTCTGCTGTAAAGTTGTATCCTTCCCAGCCGCAGTTGGCCCTGAGGGTTGACGGGGGCGTAACCTCCTCCCCCCATATATATTTATAAAGCCGCACAGCCTATTCATGAATATGGCCTCTTGAGTTGTCCCTCTATGTAAGACCACCTCGTAGCCATATTGGATTTAGAAGTCTTAACAGGTGCTGATAAAAACGTTTTGTTTCGCTTCTCAGATGGATAATATCTGGTGCATAAGATACAAGTCTTTAAAAACAAAGATACGTCATTTCCAAGTGTGAGAAGATCAAACGAATAGATTAATTTAAACATCGATGATATAGTATACATATAAATATAATCATATCTTTTTATGTTTTTGGTAAGTGTTTTACGGCGCTCGCAACTGCATAAGATCGTATGAGCGCACGGGACACACCAAACAATTTAAGTTGGTAGGAAATTTTGAATTTTGCCCGGGTGGCGTCCGAAGCCTACTCTTATCGATTTTAGACCACCAACGGATCTTTAACGTGCGCAACTTGCACACGGGACCTCCGTGATTTTTTGCCTTTGTCCGAGAAGGCTAGGTGTAGATCTTTCCTACCAGAAGATCAGGGGTGTGGCTGAAAGACAACAGTAAGAAGGAGCCAAGTAACAGTAGAAAGGCTGCAGAAAGGGCCAGGAGCCCAGCGGAATGGGCAAGGGAGGTGAGGGGGTGGAGGAAGAAAGTGGAGACGAAAGCAGACGACAGAATATTACAAGAGAGAAGGAAAGAAGGTGAAAGGAGATCATTTTCAGAGAAGAAATATTTTTGGTCGCTACCCGAAATCGAACCCAGGACCTTTGAATGAGAGGCGAACACCTAAACCTCTAGGCCACGTGAGCCCCCCTAATAATATCTGCACCTAGCTCAGGAAAGTCATGGTCTTTGGATCCGACGAAAATATCTGTTAGTAGTTGCTTTAATAGGATCAGTTTGAACAAAATTCTGTGAAAAACAAACATAACATACAAAATGGTATCACTTTGCATTTGCATTATAATTATATTACAATGGGGAGGGGGGCGGGGGTGAGGTGATAGGGGTAGGGTCTCACCTTCGAACGAAATTACCGTGTTTAGGCGTACATTTTTCTGTGAGCATCCAGACAATGAAATAATTGGCAAACGATGCTCGCAGATCTCTGTTTCATACCTGGCACTTGAAGCACAGTAAGGAACAAAAAGATACGTTGTTCCCTAAAAATAGTCTAGAATGCGCCATTTTCTATATCGCGCAACCGTCATTTTTAGGACTTGGAAAACATATCTCTGGTAGAGAAGTGAACAATATTCGCTTAAATGTACTAGTAGGCATAAAGGGCAAACTCTTATATGACTGATAATTAGTCTCTATTTCACAGAAGATTCCCAAGCACAAGAACAAGATGTCCATGCAGCCGTTAAAGTGTGCGATTTATCCATTATAGGAGATTTCCAATGACAATACTTAGTACGATGAGTAGGCCTGCTGTCATAAATTTTGCCATTTTTAACTTGTAAAATTGTAGGTGTTTTTCATGCCCACATCGACACAATTTAGATAATTTGGGAAGTGGGCTTCAGACCTTGCCTGTCAGGGCCAGCCTGGGCTGAGAGGGATACAACATCCTCGTATATATACAAGACCAAGATGCTGAATAAAAATTTTCTTCTCACTCGTGAATCGAACTCGGGTCTCCTGCGTACGACAGGCAAGAGCCTAACCACAACATCACAGCTGCCGGCATGCCTTGTTTTGAAACGCTGTAAAAATTCATTACTGGCAACAAACTCAATTCAAAACAACGCATTTCGTTTAAGACATTTAATGGATACTTAGGTGGTATGAGATAAAGAGAATGAAATAAGAAACATTGAAAGGGCGCGTATTTTCAATGACATTATATCGTCAACAGTGAAAATCTACATAATGAAAACAATAGACTTACAACTACCCTTGAAATGGAAAAAATGAACATATTGTTTTTTACAATGATGAACCATGCACAAACGTTATTAGGCCTACGTATCGTCAGCCATCTGTTCACATGTACTAAGCCCAAATTGTGAAGAAAAACATTAGTTCTATAGCAGTATCTTAACGTCTGGTATTGATTGCATGTGCTTGTAAAATATTTTGTCGAAATTAAAATTCTAAATGTTGGTATAAACAAGAAAAGACACACAGTGAACGTACAATTATCAAAAGAAGAAAACAGACTTTTTTTCTCTCTCTTGAAACCTTCTGTTGCTTGGGCTTAGAGCAGATGAACAGCTTGTCGACGGTATGTACAATATGAGACATTTCGCTCCCTTAGAATCACAAAGGTCTATCAGAATCAGACATTGTTGGCCGTTTTGAGTTTTTTAAACCAAGAGGTCAGAAACAAAATGTTCTATCTGCTCTATCAAAATCGTAAAATTATTCGAAGTCGTTATCAAAATATTCAAAGAATTGCATTCGAAAAAGCTTGACTTGTTGTGAAACTCAAAGTCTTTGACGTCAAATTTCTCAAAACTAGGTACTGAGTAGATAGAACTTTGTAATTCTGGGGTAGCGGTTTGTCAACAACCTAAAGAGTGATTTAGAGAAGCAGAGATAACAAACCATCTTAAAAAAAATGAGCAGGCTTGATTTTCCCCCTTTGTTTTGGCTGACCAGAAAATGTGGACCCTTGACATCTTCAGGACAAGACAACATAATATCATTAATATTGTTAAGTTAATGGAATTGAAACCATGCTTACTTGCCAAATAAATTTACAGATAGCAGAAACACAATATGTTAATACACTGTGACTACTCACAGTAATCAAGATGCAAGAAGAAATACAGCTCTTTGGCGGATAAAGGGGAATAAGTTGTCACTTGACAGTGACTAGCCTGATTAAAAGCACACAAACGTCAGCCATAGGTTCCGCGAGAGTTAACAGAGACATTCCGAGTCCTTAGAATGACAGGGTTCTAACTTCATGACCGACTGTTTAGAGAAAATGTTTTTTTGACACCTTTTTTTGTTTAGGGTCAAAATGAATGAAACAATAATACAGGTCTGATTGTCTCGAACCTTTGACACAGTGTGCAGGGCTTCTTTGTTAGTAATGTGTAGCGTGTAACTGAGTTCGCGCAAAAAGTGGAGTTAAAACCCTGTCATTTTAAGGGCTCAGTGAGAGGACTAGTGACAGAATGTGATTTTTCGTAATGACACAATGAGAGAGACACTTGCCCTGGAACAAGTGGGTGGTTCATTACATTTCCCCATGGTCAGCTCACAGGTAGCCATGGAAAAGCTCCCAACTTTGTAAGTTAAAACAATAACCACCATAGAAACAGACCAAATTTTTTGCAGTTTGAAAACATTTGTCACTGGGCTTTGAACGGTCGCGGATAATATATTATATATTGAACACTTTGCCCTAACTTCTTTTTAGATCATTTTATGCTCATGACAATCTAAAACTGGCTATATGATATAAAGGATGTGGGCTTTTCCCCTCTAACATTTCATCTTTGGCAATTCATTTCCCGACCAAAGTGAAGGGCTATCATAAAGAAAGTCTGTAAATTCACCCTCATCACTACAATAACAGGACATGCATTGTATGCTTTAAAAACAAAATCTTTCCGAAGGAAAGCGCTGTTTTTAGAAGAGTTAGAACAGGGGCAACTTATTTGCTGAAAGTATAGCAGATTGTCAAAGATCAAAATAAAGGGAGAGTGAGAGTGAGAGGGAGAGGGAGAGGGAAGGAGAGAAGGATGGAGGGAGGAAGGGAGAGAGAAAGAGAGACAGCGCGAGCTAGAGAGAGGAGAAGTTGATGGATAGATAGAGAGATAGATAGAAGAGAGAGAATAGATAGAGAGATAGATAGAAGAGAGAGAGAGAGAGAGAGAGAGAGAGAGAGAGAGAGAGAGAGAGAGAGAGAGAGAGAGAGAGAGAGAGAGAGAGAGAGAGAGAGAGAGAGAGAGAGAGAGAGAGAGAGAGAGAGAGAGAGAGATATCGTCAACCATCAAAGGGGGCTAATCAAGAATATGTTATCACATGTTCATCTCAAAGAATTGCCTAAACCCACGATAAACTCAGCTCTCAAATGCTGGTGGCCACATCTCCCTCAAAGAGTTCTAAATCCCCAAATCTCCCCTTGTTTGATCTCAAGATATAAACAGAAGGCCCACCATGGGGTTTGGATACACCAAAGGACACTGTTCAGACAATGAAAGTGTCTGATGAGGATTCATACATTTGGTAATTGTATCGTGCTTTTCTCATAGATTTATAAGATCATCGTGTTTTTAAGCTCAAAATAAAATTTGAGAGAATATTTGTCAAAAGTTCCTTTTATCGCGTAGCCGTAATACAACGAATTATATAATCATTTCCGACAGTTAATTTTCTAAATTCACCCATAAACCCATTTTAAGATCTCATTCTGCATGTCATGTTTTCTTCACTAGTTCTGCGCCAGTCAACCGTTATATTTTTGCTTCGCGGATTAGCCGAAAGCAGTCCCATAACTCATGAATTGTATGATTGTAGAAGGCATAATTTTTTACTTGTAAATTTCCAGGTTCAATGTATCTTTTTAGTTAAAGAACACGAAACTTTATACGGATGGATTAAATATAAAAAATTCTTATTCTATTAGTTTGCCAATTTTCTATTTTCAAACCTTGGTAAGATGATTAGTCGGACTATTGCCATTTAATATCGAACGGCTTTTTTTTTCGTGGTAATTTTAATTTTAGCGGTATTTTCTTCCGGATTTCTAAGTCCTAAAGAGGAACATACCCGGCTCCTGTCCCCTTTTAGAAACATCTTTTTCTCTCAAAATTAAATCTAAAAATTGATAACCATGTCTCAGCCGTAACTGACTGTCTGTTTGAGCCGTTCTTATCCGCTAATAGAAGTTATAGCTAAGCTATTTATGCCCTTCCCTCTCACTCTTTCCCTTTTCTTCCGTTTCAATCGTGTAAAAGCAGCAGTATTGGATTCAGGTGACTCCGTTTTACAACACGAACACACCAATTTTTTGTAAAACAGAATTGACCATGATGCAAGGTACTATACTTTTGGTATGTTTGACAGTTGAGGTGAAGGATCTGTTGAGGTAGCAACTGGGAAAAACAAACTGCTTTTAGCACGTCCTAGGTCCATATCGGTTTCCGACTTAAACAAACAAATGTATAGAGAGACACTGCAGCTAAAAGTGATATAAACATTACAGCAAATATTATGTACACATAGGACCTGGCTATAACAGTCATTAATTGAAGAAGTAGTACAATAACAAAGATAAACGGGATGAAAATATGATCTTGCAATGAAATAAATGGTTACATTCTCAAGCGACGATTCCAAGAGACTTTCTGAACGGCTCTCGGCATTCATGGCTCTTGTGTAAGGCTGGATGATGCTGTAGAGCCAATACATTTTCTAGAAGATCCTTCATGTTTGTTTGTTTGTTTGTTTGTTTGTTTGTTTGTTTGTAGTTGTTTTGGGGCAAAGGTTAAGTTTTATTGAACAGCTTTCCTGAACGATGTTTGATGCTACGTATATAAACTAATACGCCGATATAGGTACATAATCTCTGTAAAGACGACCCCTCCCCCGCCTCCCTACCATGCTTTGTTCAAATAAAAAAGAACGACCATATTTCTGAATGACATTTGACGAGGAAATGGAAATCTTTATCCCAATCACTGAGATAATATTTGGATATATTGTCTGTTCCAGGTCTCTGGGATTTTGATGCATTGGATGAGCCCATGGCTGAGTTGATGTATATTTTGCCGGTAAAATAATATCTTCCAGGTTGGTTTTACGAAATCTCTTGTTCATCAGGTCAAGGAACAGGGCGAGTTTGCTTTAGTGAAAGTGTAAGACCGACTTGCTTAGCTCATCAGCATTCCCCATCATCAGTCATCAATGTCTTCCTCACCCTGCGTCAGTCACCAATGTCTTCCTCACCCTGCATCAGGTTAAAGGCAAAGAATAAACACTTTCCACCTTTCCCTATCCTGGGCTAACCTCTTGATATTATGCCATCTCTTTCCACTTTCCTTTATATTATTCTCTGTGACTCTTCTCCAGGTTCCATGTGGCCTTCACCTTGATCCTGTGGATTCCAATCCAACACTTTCTTTGGTATGGATCTGCTTGGCTTTCAGAGAGCAAGATTGTGTATTCAGAAGTGGAGTTATTGCACATTTCCTTAAGATGTTTCAAGATTACCCCCCCCCCCCAACCACCTGATATAAACCAGAGAAGACCTATAGCTAGTCTTTGCTTTTTTCCATCCCTAAATGACTTTAGCAGGTTCAATTATATTTTCTACAACTTCAAAACTCAATCAAATAAATGAAACATTCAAAGCGCTTTGCATTCAGAAGATATTATTCATAGACCAATTATAAAACAAACAAAGAAACAAATATCCCCCTCCCCTCCCAAAAAAAATACCGCAATAATAATGATTGAAATTGTAATAAACACGGAACATAGTTTCAGAATCGATCGCTGGCCATTTTACTGATATTGAAACGCGGTATCATGAATGGTGCCATTGCACCAGAGGCTGGGTTTCCCTGACTAGTCCATAGAATGAAATCAGAGAAATAAAATTAAATGATTATGAATCATATGACGGGACGTAACTTCTACGAAAAAATATTCCACAGTGTAGAAATGTATTTATAAAAATATCTAAAGTCACTCGTATATGCCCGTTCCCTTTTATAGCGAACTCTTGAGACTATAGGCAATGCAACATCAACAATAAATAAACCGCTACACAAACCAGAAATGAAAGTGAATTGCACAGCTCAAGACACTGAATTGTCCCATGAATAATAATAATGATAATAGTAATACCGAAATGTGAAAAAAAATGAAATCAAAGTGTTGCTTTTATAGCCCAAACCACATGCATACGGTAAAATGATCAGTGCACACTTCACTCTTAACCAAATGTATATATCGAGGGTTGAGGAAAAAGCCATCCTATCTGAACAGTTAAACTTTTTAGGAAAAGCCCATAACCCCTCCCCACAAAAAACCCAACAACAAAAGACAAACAGACGAACAAAATGACCCCCCCCCCCTCCTCATTTCAAGGACCCCCCCCCCCACCCTCAAACTGAACCTAGCCCTGTGTCTCATTTATAATTTTTCCCGCCCTTGGTATTTTTATCAGCATTTAAAACAGTCACAAGCTTATTATTTCCCCACAAGGCACGACCTGTTCTGCAGGCTTACATACCCTTCAGAGATGTGACAGCTTGATCCTCTACCCTCAATATATATAAATTCTTTCATACCGAACACTGATACATCCCGCATCAACATGTTCTTTCACACATCCTAAATGCCTCTTTCTCTCTTCCTAACAATTGCTTTTCCTGCAATGTCTAAATATATAACAAACAAACGAACGTTTTATTCACAGAGTAGTGCGGCTTACAATAGGAATGTACCCAACACAGCAACTAGGGCCACAAAATAACAAATACGAGGCAAACAATGCTTGTCAAACTTCGCTCTTCGCTAGACAATATTTCACTACCATGTGGATGTAAGAGCTACACTATTTTCTTAGAAGCACAGTGTAACGTACCTGCCATCATTATCAAACATGTCACTTCAAACAGGGTTGACCCGAATGGGGCGTACAAAGTTAGCCATTCCTGTAAAGTTTGCACAAAATCCTAGCAAATCCATATTTTCACTCTTTTAGACAAACTTTTGTACCACGTATGTAATTTATTATCGTTATAGTTTTGTTGACCCCCCCCCCCCCAAAAAAAAAAAAGAAGAAAAAAATGATTAGAATGCACGTTCACGATTAACACCATAACAATTACGGTGGATTTAGTGAAATATACCTAACACCCAAATTCATATTTTATGGGCTTTCACGGCATTGAAAAAGCTCTTTAGTCTTCTGAGGTTTTTGACGACACTCATGTGACTCTCGTGGTTGTGTCAGTAAAAAGTTTGTCCGGTGCTGAAAAAAAAGTATTCATTCTCCAGTATTGGAAAGTAAACTTTTACCTCCGAAACTGTCTATCCACCCAAGAAAAGCTTTTCCTGTCAGCGCAAAGACAAACACGTTTTTTTTTTCCATAAACCAAATTTGAAAAAATACATTTCTGTAATTAGCCGGCTATGAAGCATTCAATTCATTCAATAGTTTCTTTTTAAAAGCACGAGTCAAAGGTACAACCTTACACTTAATTAAAAAGTACCGAGCAATATTTCCGCATTAAATGCTGGTGAGAAGAATATTTCTAAAAAGCTGAGGAAATTTCCACGGGATTATCATGGCTTCGACTTCTACTATCAATGGAGGTACAATTTTCTTACTCTAACAGGAGTCAGTGTTTCCACAAAATACCCGTAATGGTCCCAGAGCTGCAATACTTAAAGAAACAGCTAAAGCAAAACTGATAAATGTACAACCTTTGTCGAGTAGGCCTATATCAAAATGTGATTAAAAATATGGTCAAAAGAAAAATATCTTGACTGAATTTGTATCAGAATTCGGTTATACCAAAAATGTGATGCCTGCTTTCCAAAATCTCGTACTATTATTGGTGCCATAAAAGAACTACATGACATTCCAATGTGTTCAATTATTTATGCCTTTATAGTTGTGGGGGGCAAACCATCCTCTCAAAGTACCCTTCCGTCCCCACAAAAATCCCAGCTACATGTCTTTTTTATATTGCAGGCAAACGGAATACCTTACCGTATTTGATTCTTTAAAAAAATCCCTGTTTGGATTCCATTTCGTTTATAGTAGTTTAAATGTGCACATGCGAAGTAAACAGCTTTTAAAACAGAGCAATATTTACACATCAAATCATTCGTCACCAATGGATATGATAACACAGATGCTCCGGGAAAATAGTCATGGATGAGGAAAGAAATAGATTCAATAAATTACCAAAAATTAAAACTGTGTACACAGAAGAATGCTGTCAAACATACCATGACCGTACGCAAGTAATGATTTCAGATGTAAGCCACTGGCACGGTTGAGAATAGCTCTAACAGCAGGCGTGATAGCGACACAAAGATGACCGCCTCACAGCTCAAGTTGGGTACACCAGCAAGTCTATGTGACGTAAGGTCCACAGGGCGACACACAGCGTGAGTGTGACGGGGAGGTGTAGAAATGTACATTGCTGGTGAAGAGCCGCCCCGCCGCCGGTACCACTGCCCGTCAGCTGGTCTTTATGACCATTCAGGGCATTGTCTTTTGAGGAATCTTTTTCTGTTCCTGGAAGGCAAACCGTAAATTCGTAAGATCAAAATACAAAAATATCTACATTCCGGATATCGGTAACTACGCAAAATAAGAAAAAAGAGGGAAAAAACCCACGATGAAACATATTTGGGACTTTAGTTTATACAGAAAAAAGAGATCCCAGCAACATGGATATATCACCCCCCCAAAAACAAACAAACAAACCCCCCCCACCAAAAACAAACAAACAAACAAACAAACAAACAAGCAAGCAAGCAACAAACGAACAGACAAACAAACAAAACGAACAAGCAATAACCATCTATTCCAATCCCTCAAAAGAAGCCAACCATCATCATCAATAAAGCAATGATGAGTAAGGACAACAAATCAACATTAACATTACAACTTACGTTACAGACCACAAGAATCATTTAACTAAAACAGCTCATACGAGTAATAATTGTATTTTCTCTGAGATAGATCTAAGTCTGTTTAAGGAACCACGAAATACAAAATAAGTGAACAATTCCTGGAACAAACTATCGAAAGTGAACGGAAGTCTTCTTCGGTATCGTACCCAAACTTCCAAAAGCCGATGAGTTCATCGCTGTCGACGGATGAATGGATCTAAAGCTAATAAAATCATTCACATGATTGGAGAGAAGATTAATCAACACTCTTCAAAGCAAAAGCAACTCGACATGCAGCAGAGCGTAGTGAGAGCTTATGTGCAAGCCAAGAATAAGTCTATGCGGCAACAAAAGAAGCAGGTAATACAGTGCTTGCAAGTCCAGGTTAGAAAGCTGTCAGGGGATTATTGCGATTAAGAATCATAGATCTTATATTATACACTGAAAGTGTATGAAATCAGAAGGCAAATGGTGCTGCAAACTTTAAAAGAAGGAACATCCAGGTCAAAAATTATGTAACGGACCCACACTTGCAAAATGTAGCTTGACAATAATAGGAAAGCAAACTTAAACTGCTAAACACGATACATGTAGCTTTATCGAAAATATAAAGTAAATACCATTTTCATAGTATTAAATTTGATATAAAGACAGTTAATTCACAGATGACTTACCTCTTTTTGCGTTTTTCGTGTTGGCTGAAAGAAATGGAAATCCTGGTTTTAGTATTTCACCTGGAGGTAAAAAAAGTCATGAATGTATATATGTTCATTTGAGGAGGTCACTTGCTAACGGGTTTTACAGCCTTCTTCGTGGGGAAAAAATGAGCCTGCGGTGTGGGGGAATTTTGTGTCATACCAAACTCTCTAGTCAGGTGCTGGTGAAATGAACAGGGGCTAGAAAACGTATGATAAATTGCAAAGTTTTTCCGCTCTTTGACACAATTTGAATAATTTAGGGGGTGGGCTGCTTCCCGTTGTCCGTAAGGGCAAACACGGGCTGAAAGGGATACATCATCTCAACTGAAAGATGGATAATAACTATACTTGAAGAATTATACTTCCCTCTCGTGAATCGGAATTTGCTTGTTTATAGTACAGTAATTTCCCCAACTTTTAGCAGGAAGTCCTAATAATAGGATTCAGAAACTCTAACAAAAAGGTTTAAATTGTAGCCTTTCAGTCAGAATACTTCTTCATCATCATTGCCTTCCTCACCCTGCACAAGGGTTTAGGTCTCGGACAAACACTTTCCACCTTTCCCTATCCTTGGCTAGCGTCTTGATGTTAGTCCACGTCTTCCCACTTTTCTGTACATCAGTTTCTGTGATTCTTCTCTAGGTTCCACGTGGTCTTCCCTTTGATCTTTTACCCAGTGGATTCCAATCCAACACTTTCTCTGTTATGCAGCTGCCTAACTACCTGAGAGTATGTCCAATCCATCACCACCGCCTTCTTCCTACCTCATATCAGACTGGGATCTGTCTTGTTTTCCTCAACCCTTGCTCGTTGGTGACCCTATCTCTCCATTTTATCCTCAGTAACTGTCTTAAGCACTTGTTCAAGAGTCTGAGATGCGTTCCATGTCTTACATCCATTCAAAAGGACTGACTGCAAATTTTGAATTGAAAATCCTCAGCTTTGATCGGAGTGAGATATCCCTGGTCTTCCATATCCCATTCAAAGATATGAAAGCAGCCTGTTCTTTTCCAGGCTTCTTTATTTCAGCACCTATTCCTCCCTCTCAGTCAATTATACTCCCAAGACAGCTGAATGATTCTACATCTTCTAGTGCATTTCCTTCTACTGTGACCTGCTCCTTCTGTTGTGCATCTGTCTTTAGGACCTTTGACTTTCCGGACTGGATCTTCAAGCCAACCGACTCCGATAGGCTGTTTAATACTGAAGTCTTTGCTTGCATCTGTTCCTGGGTGTGCGGGAGAAGCGCCAAGTCGTCTGCAAAATCTAGATCGTCCAAATGTGTCAATGTGGTTCACTGTATACCATTTCTGTGTCCTCTGGTGGTTTCCCTCATCAGCCGATCGGCCGCCAATATGCAGAAAAAAGGTGATAGTAAACATCCCTGCCTCACACCTGTCTTAATGTCAAAGCTGTCAGTGAGCTGGCCATCGTGTATAACCCTGCAACCTGTTCCTTCATACATGCTCTTGATGAGGTTCACCAACTTCTGAGGGATTCCATGATGTCTCAGTATCTTCCATAGTATTGCTCGGTCTCTGCTGTCAAAGGCCTTTTCATAGTCAAGGATATTGACGATCAGCTGGGAGTACCACTCCTGGGACTGTTCCACTATGATCCACAGTGTGACAATCTGGTTGGTAGGTCAGAGTATTTGATACGCAGAAATTGGGTTCGTTTGAGAGGCATTCAAATTTCACATTTACTAACTGACCGTGTCATTATCTAAATGGATTCTTCTTTAGCTGGCCTTGAAGCTTAAATATAGACAGAGAACAAAGCTTTCGCTTCAGTGTAAAACTTGGAATTTTTTACAGTAAAAATTTATTTTTTGATGAGTTTTTGTTTTTTGTTTCAACTTCTATACTAAGCTTTGCTTACTTCGAGTCATATGAAAATAATATGATAGTTAATTATTTATTTTCAAAATGTGTTGAATGATTTTTAAAACTTACTAAAAGTCAGTAAGCGTATTTAATGAAAGTTAGTTAACAGTGAAGACATAAAAAGTGATATTTATTTCTCACTGAGAAAACACCCCGCCCCCTATTTTTTTCTCCAGAAAATGACCTCGACTCCACATAGGCCCCTTTGCAAGTGACCTCCTCATCTGCACTTCGTTCAGAGAATGCTCCCCAATCTGACGCTTCTTGAACTTATTCTTTAGGGTAATTAGATCTACATGAAAGTGACTTGTTCAAATTGTTTGAAAACAAACATTCCTCTAATCGTTGAAAAGCAAATGTGAGCTTTATTTCTTTATTAGAAACTGCAAGTTGACTATGGCACAAAACTTTTTTTGGCCACTTAAACAAATAACAACGTCAAAAACAAAATTAGATTTTAGTCCGACGATTTTGTCAAGTTCAATGCATTATGGATGAAGACATTCCATAGCCAAAACTATACAGTGGCTAGAATTAAGTCAAAAACTGACAAATCTAGTAGACATAAATCTCCAAAGCAGAGTTTGTAATTGTAGAAATAGCACTTAAAATAAAAAAGTAGAAGGTTATGAGCAGTTATTACTTGTACCGTTGAGAACATCGACTCTGGCTGACGCTATCTGCAAGTCGGATGTGCGACATACATAAATGCCGGCATCTTTCATATTCGCTTCCGCAACTTCCAACACGCTATAGATGGTCTTCTCCATCAGAGATACACTCTTCTGGATTGTCACCTGAAATAAAATGACAGTAATTATAATGACAGTTCCTCTATCATGAGCTGATGACGATGATGACCCTTAACACCCAAAGGGGTGTTTTAGATCTAGCTAATTAGGTAGTCCAACAGTTTAAATATCTAGGATATATGATAACATCTGATGCCAAATCTTCCGCAGAAATAAAAAGGAGAACTGCAATGGCTAAGGCTGGTTTCAATAAAATGAGCCCCAATCCTGAAAAATAGAAACATATCAATGAACACCACAATGAAAGTCCTGAAATGCTATGTTTGGTCAACCCTTCTATATGGCTGTGAATGCTGGACAATCACTAAAGACAGTGAAAATAAAATAGAGGCAACAGAAATGTGGTTTCTTAGGAGACTGCTAAGAGTATCGTGGAAGGAAAATAAATCAAATGAGATAGTGCTTGATGAAGCCCACGTGGGACGCTCACTGTTAAAAACAATCAGGAAACGACAAATGCAGTTTTTGGGGCACCTGAATAGACATAAGGGTCTTGAACATCTAGCTCTCACTGGCAAAATTGAGGGCAGGCGAGGCAGGGGTAGGCCCAGAACAACATACTTAGGGAACCTAAACAAATGGGTAACAGGGAAAAATCAGGGAAACGTAGCTTTTCTGAGAGCATCCAAGCAAAAGAATGAATGGAAAATCATGATCGCCGATGTCTGTCGCAGATATGGCACTGGATGATGATGAATTAGGTAGCTCATTTGATAAAGAAAGACAAAAAAAGGAGATAGAAAAAGAACGCAGCTTGTACTGATCCCACACTCCACCACTCCACACCGTCAGATAGAAGCGCATTTCCTCTTTCCTAGAATGGTGTGCTTATCTGTTCAAAGATATGGTTCTTTGTTAAAACCTACTTACGGCTTTGCTTGTAGCCGTCTATCATTATTCTCTCTGAGACCAAGTTTCCACAAACAGAACACTTGTGGTCTAATAACAATAAATATAATCCAGCACTGTCGACACACAATTTAAAGCGTTTGGGGACGGACTTCTTTCATACTGTCTGCCAGGGCAAGCCTGAGTTGTGAGGGAGACACGTCTTCAGAATGATGGCCATGCCCGATAGGTGTCTTCTCTGTGTGGGAGTTGAATTGGGTGAAAGGCAAGGGTGAGCTATACAATAGGCATGGTTTTAAGCCTCGATCATTTCTTTCACATCTCGTTTCATTCCTTAAAATGAAACTGTCACATTTAGAATAGATGAGGAATTTTCCCTTTTTGTCACTAGATCTATATTATTATCTCACCAATTCTCATACTCCTTCGCAGAGAAACAGCATAGATAGACTAGTTTAAGAAATATGCCGCGCACACACACACACACACACACACGCACACACACACACACACGCCACACACACACACACATGCATACACACATGCGTACACATCACTCCAATTTCTCCATCATTCCAACACTGACCCCTCCTCGACATATTCATCAACCCGCTTTCTTCTTCCTTCATCCACATGTCCTATCCCCTTCCCTCATGCACATACAAACAAAAACGCAAACACTCAATGAAATAGCACACACACTCACACACACACACACACACACACACACACACACACACACACACACACACTCACACACACATACACATATGCACGCACTATACATGTACCCGTAAACACTGACACACAAGCACATTAACACACACGCACACACACACAAACACACACACATTTTCTTTGTACTGTAGCCTTTTTCTCTACCCTCCCATCCTCATCCAACCCCTACCTTCCTATGTCATCTAACTTTCTCATTCGAAATAGGACTCGCTATTCATTCGCGCCTAGGCCATCTATGACGAACCATGCACTTCTAAATCTGTTTCACGCATAGAAAAAGTGAGGTCTTGGAGAAGCATACATCTTCGCTTTGTTCGAAAAGAGAGCAAAAAACAGCTCTATAGGAGACGAGGCAATGGCCAATAATGCAACTTAATTGAGATGGAGAAGAACGTTACGGCACATTTATAATGCATGAGTGCCCGCTGGAAGCATGTTTCTAGATTAAATACAATCTATTAAGAGGAAGAATGCAGGGCATCTAGGGTATCCAGAAACGGAGGCCAAAGAGAGAGAGAGAGAGAGAGAGAGAGAGAGAGAGAGAGAGAGAGAGAGAGAGAGAGAGAGAGAGAGAGAGAGAGAGAGAGAGAGAGAGAGAGAGAGAGAGAGAGAGAGAGAGAGAGAGAGAGAGAGAGAGGGAGGGGGGAGGGGGGTGCTGTGCTGTTCAGCTGAGCCACATTAATAAATGTAGATGATTTGTTGCAGCGACAGTCAACAGTCAAGACAGCTGTGGGAACTCCAACATGATATATTTGTGTGGTGGTGGAAGGAACTTAATTATTAATATCCCTGTCTTGGAGAGTAAATCAAGAAGCCCAACAATGATGATGATGATGATGATAATGATGATGATGATGACAATAATAATAATAATAATAATAATAATAATAATAATAATAATAATAATAATAATAATAATAATAATAATAATAAAAATGATAAAAATGATGATGATGATAATAATAATAATAATAATAATAATAATAATAATAATAATAATAATAATAAAATAATAATTATAACAATAATAACGATATAAAAAGCAAAAAAGAAATGCGCAGAAAAATAGTGCAGTGATAATAAAAGATTCATAATGACAATAATAATAATAATACTAATACTAATACTAATACTAATACTACTACTAATAATAATAATAATAATAATAATAATAATAATAACAATAACAATAACTGCAGTTGCAATTAATGCAAGGACTCAAAAACAACAGCAACAACTACCACCACCACCGCGAAAACAACAAGAGCGACGACAACAATAGCAACAACAACCTTATAATTTACACCCAGAACAGGCAACCAAACGCCAAGAATTCCCGTGCCTAGAAAAAGGCGCCTCAAGGAAAGCTGTATTAATAAAAATATTATATATATTTATCGTATCTTCGTGCGTTGCTCTTGCTCACACCACTGACGTCACCACAAACCTTTTTGTCCATATCGGTCGTAAGCTTCTGACCGTTCAGGAACCAGTCCAGATCGTCCGGCGATTGCTTGTGGCCCGTCGCGTTGCATACCAGCCGGATCACGTGGTCTTTTTCCACATACGTTTTCCCGGTAATGTTGATTTCTGAGGGAAGTGGGACTCGTGAATACAGACACTTTTGTGGCAGACGGAATTGCTTCTGCTGATATCATTGATCTAAAGAAGGTCGTATCTATATCTATCTATCTATCTATCTATCTATCTATCTATCTGTCTGTCTGTGTCTGTCTGTCTGTCTGTTTATCTGTCTATCTATCTATCTATCTATCTATCTATCTATCTATCTATCTATCTATCTATCTATCTATAATGGCGTATGGGTAAGTCGTACACTAAGTAATCGATAATATATACAATAAAAAGCAAGCATGGAAAACAGACATAAACGTTGTTATCGTCGTCGTCTTGGGATCAGCCTCTTGTTGTCGGTTGCCGTTTGTCTAGCTAGCAACGTTGTATTGTGAATGTTGTCGTTGAAATCGGAGTTATTTTCGTCTTCGAAATTTTGTCGTCGTCGCTTACATCGTCCATTTTTGTATGCACAGCCATAAAAAAGTCTAAATACATATTCAGTTATTTAATAGAAAAGGCAACTTAGAGAATATTAATATTATTCTGAATACCTCATTTGTAAGATAAATGAATAAGAATATTCATACCCTTCTTAACAGCTGCAAAACCGATACTCTATTTGTGTTTAGTACATATGTATGAAAGAGGGAAGATAAGCAAACAAAACTGAAGAGAAAGTTCGGGAACCAAAAACATCCAAATCCATTAATTTATCCCATTTACCCCCCCCCCCCCCTTTCCCCCTCCTCCACACACCCTGATTTTCCTTCGCAGATGAGGTAAAAAATGTCATTTTGGCACAGTTTAACAAATTTCGACTAAATTCAACCTTAACCTTCGAAATCAAGTTCATTTGTTTTAAAGAATCGGTCGTATTGTGCCGAAATGTTAGCTTTTGTTCCTTCATGGAGGAAAATCCTGCTGGCCCCCGTCTCAATTCGAATGAATCCCGACTGACAGTGTGCACTTGGTAGTAGAACAAACGTGACCCACTTCAACCTGCTCACTCACTCATCAACCCAGGTGAAAGTGTGTGAGTAATGTATAGCATGTGTTTCAGCTTGTTTTTCTGTAAACGTCGATAACGACAAATGATGAAACATGGAGACACCTGCGGGGCTTGTTATTCTTACCTGCTTGTGCCTCATGGTTGATCTTTCCAGCTGAGGAAGGAAGTGAAGAACAAAAATAATAAAACTGAGGTTTTAGAACTTTCAGTCGAGAACAATAGCCTAATGCCTAATCGTCTAAGACGTGAACGCCTGGCTTCATATGCTGACAGCTGGGTAGACAAAATAGTCAACAGAGAAAAGGAAGGTTAAAGAAAAAAGCACCAGGTAAATCAAGGTGATAATGATGTTTGCCAAAATGGAACTAGACACCCTTTTCTCTCTGGAGTACCACATCACCCCTGCCACCGACCGTCCCCCCATCCAACTTGTGCGCTTGTCTACGCTTTTCCGTTTTTCGTCCATTTTGTTAGTACCTGTCTCCATGCCCCCC